TCTGGGTGCAAAATGAGAACATTGTGATGCACTACGATCTACCGTAAAACATAAACAGTGGAGGTATCCGCTGGTTCTAAAGTAAAATGGTCATCGGTCAGAATCCTGTTTTAATGGCTCAATCAGACCACCATGACCACCATGGGATAAAGAAAAGGAACTAACCATGAGACCCAAATGGCGGTTACGTTCAAAAGAACAGTCAACAATGTTCCACAGCATTCCCTGTCATAATTATGATGCTAGTTAAATGGTTGAAGATAATTAAGAATTAAAAATTGAAAAACAGATCGCTGGGCGCCTATCTGCCAGTATTTATATTCCCGATTGAAACTGTTATTATGAAGCAGCCAAAACTTTATCGAAGGCGACTATGTTTACTCGCATGACATGCATTTGCAGGAGCTCTTGATCCCGTTTCCCGCCTATTTGGATTTTAGTATTCCCCAAGCCTAGACCGATATATTTGGCGCAACAACTGCCAAGACCACACCAGGGCCGGTAACGGGATATGCTGCTGGACCAGTCAATTGGGACCAAATTTAGAATCTGTCTAAACAGATAATAGGAAGCTGCTCCTCGACTGACATATATGACTGCGCGATGGATCTTTATTGCACTATAGAGGCGCTGCGCCCAAGGCTTGACTCGGTGCGGAGAGGACTAATTGGATAAACGAACAAAGTCACGAATGACAAGCAGCTGACGCCTGCTGTCAAGTCCATTCGTGTCGTGTGACCAGCATCACCGCCTAACTCGAACGACCACGGGGCCGACCAAGTATCATAAGAGCATTGAAAACTGATCAGTCTGAGATGATGATCAACCTGCACGCTGACATTGCCGCAACTGCGACGGACACAAGGGAAAGAGCCGTCACAAGATCCCGTCAGCGGTGGAGCACGGAGGAACTAGGAGGTGATCAAGCACAAATAGACAAGCAAAAGCTCGCTCGTCGGTCAGGGTTGTAATATGAAGCAGGTTATGGGAGTCAATAAACGAGTGCCTGCAGAAACAGTCAACGCAACTATCTGACTCGGGAAAGACAGTACAAGCAAAACATGGTCCGCGTGCTCGGCCCCTAGTTGTCTGCCTTTGGAGATGATGAAAGCGACGATTCACTCAGTTCACCCAAGTGTAAACAGCTCGGCTGCATTGGTGGGATTTGAACCTCAATAGCCAATGGAAGGCTGCAGTATAGTCAACGTTCTATCCACCTGAGCTGCGAATTCCCAACAGAAGCCATGATTTTATTCATAGGATGTCTGGATTTTGAATATTAAAGCGTATTCTTATCTATGCATATCGCAGTCGCCTTTCCCCGAAAAGAAAATAAAGAAAGAGGGAATGTGTGTTTGTGGGCTATGCTACACTCGCATTATGGCTACAGAACCTTCATTTTTGCGTTCATGGGAGCGTTGGGCTTTATTTCGTTGTTGGGGCGTGTCATTTCAGCCTCATCTCCTGGCGGCCAGCCCCTCAGTGGCTGACTTGTGAGGGTGTCATATGACCCCTGTCCTATTCGCAATCGTCGTAGTTGCAGAAAAATCATCGTGGCCGTTTAGTATCCTCTCGGAATTGGACAGAGTGGCCGATCAGGGTTATGCGCGCCAGTTTAAACAAATTTGTTTTAATATGTCCTTATGGTTTTTAAATTCCGTTACTACAAGCATGGCTTTCAGCAGGTTTCTCTGAAGTCTCCTCTCGACTATCATTACTTATTTAAGAAAATCTTGAAACTGTTAAGCAGGTTTAGGAACGAGAGTAAGAAGAGGTGAAAAAAATAAGTTAGATTGGTTATTTATGGCTTATCTCTCGTCAGCGTTACGATGTATTCATGATCTATTACTTATTGCTATGGCACCGTTCACATTGAACCTAGAGCGATACGTCCATTTCTATCTTGCAGTCGGGATAGAGCCACGAATTTCATGTCCAGGTACGCAAAAAGTTTTTTAACGGTAAGATTTATTTCAGTGACGGCAATTTCCTATATAAACGAAAACAAACTACGGAGGGGGACCGAGAACCTCAAAACTCCGACCGTAAAAGAAACAGCAAAATTATGCTTACTTAAAACTGAAAGTACCATATGTTGTCAACAATATTTCTCGATAGAATTCAGCTGTTACAATCGCTCACGAGCCCGCTGCTTTCAATTACATAAGATTTAAATGGAAACTGCTGCATTTATATTTATCAATTAATGCGGTCTTGTACATTCTGTTCTAATTTCGTTGTAAGAACAGTACTTAACACGAAGAGAAACGACTTATGCCGCAACACATGCGATACAGTGAATGCAAGTGTAATTTTTTATTAAGGAAAGCGAATTTCTTGTTTTACATAAAGTCGGCTTCGAAATTTCGGTGTAATTCATCCTATTATTGATTTCTGGCAAATGGAGACAGTTTCTAAAAGTGACCTCTGAAGGGTCAGTTGGTTGAACACAGTCCTTGTATATAAATTGCTTTAGAATGCAATGGCTATTGTCTCTTTCAGGTTCACTCTCCAGCGTCATAAACTTCAGTTGGTATCATGCTTGTCAGTAACAAAACTCCGAAAGATGACTTGCCACCTTTTTTCCCAAGGCCAACATGAAGATTTACGCGAGTATATTTTTACCACCTGGGGTCAGGAATGCATGTTTCCCCTTGACCCATCAATTTTGTGGGGTTTTATTGTGGAAATAGTCGTCTCATCG